AAATATGAATAAATTAGAATAAAATGGTGGAAAATGGGAAAAATGGGGGAAAATGGGAAAAATGGGGGGAAATGGGGAAAAAATGGAGAAAAACGGTGAAAATTGGGAAAAAAAGTGGTGGGAAATGGGGAAATTTTTATTAAAATGGTGGAAAATGGGAAAAATGGGGGGAAATTGGGGAAAATTGGGATTAAAAGGTGAAAAATGGGGAAAATTAGGGAAAAAACGGGGAAAATTTGAAAAATTGGTGGAAAATGGGGAAAAAATGGTGAAAAATGGGGAAAATTGGGAAAAAAAATGGCGGGAAATGGGGGAAAAATTGTAAAAATAGGTGGAAAATGAGAAAAATGGGAAAAAATGGGGGGAAATGGTGGAAAATGGGAAATGGTAAAAAAATGGGGTTAAAAATGGGATTTTTGGTGGGAAAATTTGGGGAAGGAAGGGAAAAGGGGCGGGGTTTGGTGGGGAAAGGGGCGGGGCTAAAGTGGGTGTGGCCAAGGTGAGGAAAAATTTAAAAAAAACCCCAAATTTGGGCAAAAAACTGCAGAAAAATTCAATTTTTTGCCAAAAAATGTCTCCAAATTTGGGGTTTTTTGAAGCTTTTTCATCATTTCCCACAAGGGGGAGCCCCAGGAGAGGATTTTGGGTCGAATTCGGCAAATTCGGGGTTAAAAAGGAGAAGTCAGTGGGGGAGGGGCCAAAAATGGAAATTTTGGGGCCGTGGGAAAAACGAGATTTGGGGCAGAAACGGCAAATTCGGCCAAAATTTGGGGTTTTTGTAGAAAATCGACGTTTTTTGACCCAAAATCGGGATTTTTTCGGAGCTAAAAATGAAGATTTTTTAAACCAAAACAGAGGTGAAAAATGCGGATTTTTGTTGGGAAATTCCAGGGGTTTTGGAGCCGAAAATTTGGGATTTGGGGGTGGAAAATTGGGGATTTTGGGCGGAAAAAATGTGGATTTTAGGGTGGGAAAATGAGGATTTTTGGGTGGAAAAAAAGGTGAATTTTGGAGCGTTAAAATGCAGATTTTTGGGCAGGAAAAGGAGAAGTTTTAGGTGGAAAAATCAGGATTTTGGGGCTTTAAAATCAGGATTTTGGGGTGGATTTTAAGGCAAAAACTGATGAATTTTGGGGTGAAAAAAGGGGATTTTTGGAGCTTAAAAAAAAGATTTTTGGAGGCGATTTTGGGGTTGGAAAATGAGGATTTTGGGGTGGAAAAAAGGTGAATTTTGGAGTGGTAAAATGCAGATTTTTGGGCAGAAAAAGGTGAAGTTTTAGGTGGAAAAATCGGGATTTTGGGGCTTTAAAACAGATTTTTGGGATGGATTTTAAGGCAAAAATTGAGGATTTTGGGGCTTCAAAATCGGGATTTTTCAGGGCTCAAAAAAAAATATTTTTGGAGATGATTTTGGGGTTGGAAAATGAGGATTTCTGGGTGGAAAAGCAGCGATTTTGGGGCTGAAAAATTCGGGATTTTGGAGCCCAGAAATGAAGAATTTTGGGGTTAAAAACTGCAGGAAAAATGAAGATTTTTAAGCAGGAAAACGAGGAATTTTGGGATGAAAAAAGGAGATTTTTGAGGAAGGAAAACGAGGATTTTTGGGTGGGAAAAAAGCGAATTTTGAGGGGCGGAAAATGAAAGTTTTTACGCCAAAAATCCGACGATTTTTCCGTCAAAATCCGGGAATTTGGGATGGGAACGAGGTGAAAATTGGGATTTTTGGAGGATTTGGGGGGAAAAATGGAAATTTTGGCGTTAAAAAGGGAGTAAACGGTAAAAAATTGATTTTTTTCCCCTAAAAATTGCGGAATTTTGCTGTGAAATGTTTGGAATTCTCGCCTTAAAATGTGGGATTTTGCCTTAAAGTTGATTATTTTTATTAAAAATGTGGAAATTGTGCCTTAAAAACTGAGATTTTAATTAAAACAATGGAAATTTTGCCGTAAAATTGATGATTTTTATTAAAAATGTGGAAATTGTGCCTTAAAATGGATGATTTTTATTAAAAATGTGGGAATTCTGCTTTAAAATTGATGATTTTAATTAAAAACCCAGAAGTTTTGTCTTAAAATTGATGACTTTTAATAAAAATGTGAGAATTGTGTCTTAAAAATTGAGATTTTAATTAAAAATATGGGAATTTTGTCTTCAAATTGATGATTTTAATTAAGAATCCATTAATTTTGTCTTAAAATTGATGCATTTCAATAAAAATGTGGAAATTTTGCCTTAAAAATGGAAATTTTTATTAAAAACGTTGAATTTGTGCTTTAAAATCGATGATTTTTATTAAAAATTTGGGAATTTTGGTCTTCAAACGCCAAATTTTGACCCAAAATTGTTGAATTTCGCCTTAAAATAAAGAATTTACCTTAAAAAATTGAATTTTGCCTCTGAATTTGTGATTTTTTCTGGAAAAAAAATCCCCATTTTTTATTCTCCCTCTGATTCATTTTCCCTCCAAAAAAAAGTGAATTTTCCCCCCAAAATCCGCATTTTTTACCCCCAAAATTTGCGATTTTTGTCAATTTACCCTATTAAAAAATTACATTTTTTTTACCCAGAACGTTCAAATTCAACCCAGAATTCTCGTTTTTTTCCCCTAAATCGTTTTTTTTCCCGTAAATCAGATATTTTTACTCAAAAAATGCAAATTTCACCCCAAACCTGCGGCTTTTGCTACCAAAAAAATTCATTTTTTTTACCCAAAACCTTCGGGTTTTCCCCTACAATGGGTGGAGGGGCCCAAAATTCATATTTTTCACCCCCAAATTTGCATTTTTCACCCCCAAATTTGCATTTTTTACGCCCAAAATTTGCATTTTCCCCCCTCAGCTCCAGGCGCTTTTTGCCCAAAATCGCCTTTTTTCCCCTCAAAATTCAATTTTCGCCCTCGACCTGAATTTTTCCACCATAAAACTCAGAATTTTGACCCCAAAGTGGGGATTTTTTACCCAAAAATCCCATTTTTTTACTCCAAAATGAGAATTTGAACTTTTTGCCCAAAACCTGGATTTTTTTCATCCTAAAAATTATTTTTTTCGCCCGAAAAATCAATTTTTTTTCCCTAAAATCCACGTTTTCACCCTAAAATTCCACATTTTTGCCCTAAAACTCGCATTTTTGTCCCCAAAATCGACATTTTGATTTTTTCTGGCCCCAAACTCCAAAAATTCCTCTCAAATTCACTTTTTTCCCGCTAAAATTCACATTTTTCCCCCTCTAAAATGAGGATTTTTTACCCTAAAATTTAATTTTTCCCCTTTAAACCTTTTTTTCTCAAAATTGGGGATTTTTACTTAAAAATCCACATTTTTTCCCTTAAAATCCCCATTTTTGCCCAACTTTTACCCCCCAAAACCCCAAATTTTTGGCCCAAAATTTGATATTTTCCCCCCTAAATCCTCATCCTCCCAAAACCCCCAATTTTGACCCCAAAATTCTCATTTTTCAGCTCAAAATTCTCTTTTTCACCCAAATTTTCACATTCCCCCCCCAAAATTTGCTTTCCCCTCCCCAAATTTCAACTTTAACTCAAAACCGCGATTTTTTTTCACCCCAAAACCCCCAAATTTGCCTAAAACCTCTTTTTTTTAACCCCCAAAATTTGCATTTTTCGCCTCAAAATCGACCCCGAAAAAACCCCAAAAAATTTCGAGGTTGAAAAATAAAATTTTTCGCATTTTTCGCCCTCAAAATCGAATTTTTTGGCCTCAAAATTCGTCTCCAAAAGCTGGAAAATTCCAATTTTTTCACCCCAAAATTCCCAATTTTTACCTCCAAAATTCGCACTTTTAGCATCAAAAATTCACTTTTTTCCCTCAAATTTCCACTTTTTTCCGCAAAATTTTCGCCTTTTTCCCCAAAATTTTCACTTTTTCCCCAAATTCCCCAAATTTCCCCTCCCAATTCCCGTTTTTTACCCCAAAATTCCACAAATTCCACTCCAAATCCGCTTTTTTTTTACACAAAATCGCTTTTATTGCCCCAAAATTGGGGATTTTTGTCCCCAAATTCCCCCTTTTTTACCCCGAATTCCCAAATTTTACCCCAAATTCCCGATTTTCCCCCAAAAATTCCCCCTTTTCCCCAATTTTTACCCCCAAAATTTTCCAGTTTCCCCCCAAAATTCCCAATTTTTCCCCAATTTTCCAAACCCCTCCCAAATTCCCAAATTTCTCCCCCAAAATTCCCGAATTTTCCCCCAAAAATCCCAAAATTTTTCCCCCAAAATTCCCGATTTTCAACCCCAAAAATTCCCAAATTTTCCGCCCCAAAATTCCCGATTTTCAACCCAAAAAAAATTCCACATTTTTGCCCCCAAATTCCCAATTTTTTCCCCAAAAATTCCCAAATTTTTCCCGCCAAAATTGAGAATTTCCCCCCAGTCCAAACCAGTCCAAACCAGTTCAAACCAGTCCAAACCAGTCCAAACCAGTCCAAACCAGTTCAAACCAGTCCAAACCAGTCCAAACCAGTCCAAACCAGTTCAAACCAGTTCAAACCAGTTCAAACCAGTTCAAACCAGTTCAAACCAGTACAAACCAGTAAGAACCAGTCTCACGCCCCTTGCTGGATGCTCAGCCTCAGGAGGGAGCTCAGCACCCACTGCACCTGCGGGGCCCAGTTCAGACCAGTCCAAACCAGTACAAACCAGTATAAACCAGTCCAAACCAGTTCAGACCAGTTCAAACCAGTATAACCCAGTATAAACCAGTTACCCCATTTTTCCCCCATTTTTCCCCATTTTTCCCATTTTTTCACCGTTTTCCCCCATTTTTTTCACCGTTTCTCCCCGTTTTTCCCCTCCCAGTCCCTCCCAGTACAAACCAGTCCAACCCAGTACCCCCAACCCCCATTTCCCGCCATTTTCCGCCATCTTGTTTCCATTTTCCGCCATTTTGTCCCCATTTTTAAACCTCTCTTCCCTGTTTTTTCACCATTTTTCACCATTTTTCCCCCATTTTCCCCCATTTCCCCCCTCCCAGTCCCTCCCAGTATAAACCAGTACAAACCAGTCCAACCCAGTACCCCCAACCCCCATTTCCCGCCATTTTCCGCCATCTTGTTTCCATTTTCCGCCATTTTGTCCCCATTTTTAAACCTTTCTTCCCCGTTTTTTCACCATTTTTCACCATTTTTCCCCCATTTTCCCCCATTTCCCCCCTCCCAGTCCCTCCCAGTATAAACCAGTACAAACCAGTACAAACCCGTAACCCCAACCCCCATTTCCCGCCATTTTTAACCCTTTCTTCCCCATTTTCCCCCCTATTTTCCCCGTTTTTTCACCGTTTTTTCCCGTTTTTTCGCTGTTTCTCCCCATTTCCCCCCCTCCCAGTACAAACCAGTCCAAACCAGTTACCTTGCAGAGCGTGACGGTGGCTCCGTAGCCCACGCTGAGGAGGAACAGGGTGATCACCACCCCCAAAGTGTCCCAGGGGTCCCCCCCGGGCTCCTCCTGGCAAAGGTCAGGGGGCAGCTGCAGCTCTGGTGGGGGGGGCGGGAATCCCAGTCAGAACCAGTTCAGACCAGTAAAAACCAGTATAAACCAGTTTGACCCAGTTTTCACCTTTTTTCCCCATTTTTTCCCCAATTTTTTCCCGTTTTTCCCCATTTTTACCCCATTTTTCCCATTTTTTCCCAATTTTTCCCATTTTGCCCCATTTTCTTCCCATTTTTCCCCATTTTTCCCCCCATTTTTTCCCATTTTTCCCCATTTTCCCCAATTTTTCCCGTTTTTCCCCATTTTTCCCCATTTTCCCCACTTTTTTCCCATTTTTCCCTATGTTTCCCATTTTCCCCCCATTTTTCCCACTTTTTTTCCCATTTTTCCCACTTTTTTCCCATTTTTTCACCAATTTTTCCCGTTTTCCCCCATATTTTTTCCCTTTTCCACCATTTTTTCCTATTTTTTCCCATTTTCCCCCAATTTTTCCCCATTTTTCCCCATTTTTCCCACTTTTCCCCATATTTTTCTCAATTTTTCCCATTTTTTCCCATTTTTTCCCATTTTCCCCCATTTTTTTCCCATTTTTCCTTATTTTTCCCTCATTTTTCCATTTTTTCCCATTTTTCCCCATTTTCCCCACTTTTTTCCCATTTTTCCCTATGTTTCCCATTTTCCCCCCATTTTTCCCACTTTTTTCCCATTTTTTCACCAATTTTTCCCATTTTTCCCCGTATTTTTTCCCTTTTCCACCATTTTTTCCTATTTTTTCCCATTTCCCCCAATTTTTCCCACTTTTTCCCCATTTTTCCCCATTTTTCCCACTTTTCCCCATATTTTTCTCAATTTTTCCCATTTTTTCCCATTTTTTTCCCATTTTCCCCCAATTTTTCCCCATTTTTCCTTATTTTTCCCCAATTTTTCCCTTTTTTCCCATTTTTCCCATTTTCCCCCACATTTTTCTCAATTTTTCCCATTTTTCCCCAATTTTTCCCCAATTTTCCCATTTTCCCCCATTTTTTCCCATTTTTGTCCCATTTTCCCCCCAAAAAAACCTTTAATTAAGCAATTACCGCTAATTAATTTAATTACCGAGCTTTAATTAATAAAACCGACCCAGAAACCCCCAAAAAACCCCAAATTTAACACCCAAAATCCTGGTTTTTTTACCCAAAAAACCCCTCAAAAATTCGCAAAAAAAATTACTTTAATTAATTAATTACCACTAATTACCGCTAATTAAGTTAATTACCGGTTTTTAATGAATAATACCGATCAAGAACCCAAATCCAGGACCCCAAAATTCCCAAATTAACGACCCAAAAATCCCATTTTTTCACCCCAAAATAACAAATTTCACCAAAA